AGATGAAAGAAATAGAAAAGATGGAGGTATTTTTACAAAACTTCATATACACAGTTGTTCCCATAATATCGTGTTTTTACAGTTCCTTTAAAATTTTATTTCTATTTCTACTGTATCATGGTGTAACCTGTTGAATTATTGAAAAAAAGAAATAGAATGTCTGCTGATATGAACAAATACAAAATAGCTTTCAAGATTTTCGAATTTTTCAAACTTATGGGAGCAATACTGTACATTGAGTAAAAGCTAAGAATTTTAGTATCTAATTCTTTTTCCTTTCTAGATAAACATAATAATAATAATGATACGGAATCTTTTGAAGTTAAAAATAACAAAGAGCATTCGAAAATAGAAGAATCAAAAAATGAAAATAAAACACATATTTTAGGCAAAAGAGATACAAAAAGAGTGTCGTTGGACGATGAAAAGAAGTTGAATAAAAGAATTAAATTACAAAAAAAAGGTTTAGAAAAAATTATCGCTACTTCTACTTGGAGTGTAGAATCGGTAGAAAGAAATGTACAAACTAAATGTAGTCCTTCGTCGAATGTTTCAAATCAGGAAAAGATAAGTAAAATATTTAATGCTATGGAGGAAAGAATGCAAGATCAAATCAAATCGAAAATTCAGCATATTACGGAGAAGTATGAACAAGTTATTAAAAAACCCAAACATAAAAATAATAGGATAAAAGCAGAGAAAGATAATTTCGATGGACTTGAAATGCAAACTACAAATAAAAGAGTAATTATAGATTCATCTTTACATGAAGATGTTAATGAGAATGACTTAGACAAAAATACTAATTTAGAAAACACCAGGAACATAAATTATAGTAACAGTTTATCTGTAAATAAAGTAAATAAATCTGAAACAGAAATTGATCCTAGTAAATATATGAATGTAAAACCTAAGCATCTACACACAGATCTTCCCACTGATATAACAGGTGGCGATGATGTCTTAGATGACAGTGAAAATGAGGATGAAAGACACAACGTAATAAGTGAAGCATTTGCTGATGACGACGTTGTAGAAGAATTTAGAAACGAGAAGAAGGAATGGGTATGTCAAAATATAATTTGTTTACGAAGTGGTTGTTAATTAATTTTTTTAAAGTACTATTCGAGAAATTATTTACAGGTGAAAGATTCTCAACCTAAGGATATTGATTTAACTTTACCAGGCTGGGGTAGTTGGGGTGGGACAAACGTTAAAGTATCAAATCGTAAAACAAAGCGTTTTATATTAAAGTTTCCGAAGGATGCACCGCGTAGGGATGAAAATAAGGGAAATGTAATAATATTCGAAGACAGCAAGGCGAAAATAAGACAACATCAAATCAGTGAACTGCCATATCCATTTACAAGTGTTAAAGATTATGAAGCTAGTATTAGAATGCCCATTGGTAGAAATTTTGTTCCTGAGAATGCTCATAGAAAGTTAATTGAGCCTACCGTTAAGACCAAAATGGGCAAGGTTATTGAACCTATGACCGAAGATGTTTTGGTGAAAACAGCTGAAAAGAAATTTAAAAACCCTATTGCCAAGAGAAGAAATAAGATAATTAAGAAGAAGGGAATAAAATAAACGATACGAATAAATTACAAAAATTTTTACTGTCATATGACTGTATAAAACTCCATTTTTAACCCTCAGAAAACAAATGCTAAGATTAATGTTACAAACAGGTATTGGATTATTTTGACCACATACAATGTATAACAAATATAAACATGTTTTATACTTTACTTTATACTTTGTTTTGTATCATATTAATTCATATATTTCACTTTATATTGTTTGCGAAAGATACAAATGTATCTTTAATATTGAATGCTTATTGCAAAGCGTAATTTAAGATACTTCGCATCGTTATAAGGTGCTTTTACATCATTTGTATGGTATAACGATTTCTAGGTCAAAATAATTCTATATTTGTCGTAGGATTGTATATTTGATTTTTTAAAGTAAATATTTGATGAGCAATGTTTTTGATAAATTTTTATTTTTTAGTCCACTGATTTTTTTATTTCATAAATGTTCATTAAATTGTAGCATTCTATAAAACATTTTCATCAGTAAGGTAGTGTAACAGCTTATGATAACTATTAACAATATATAATATAGATGATTTGTCAGAGATAATCATAATTACTTTTTTCTTTTTTTAAAAATATGTGCATTAGTTTGCAAATATTTTTACCATACTTTTAAATATAAAATAATTATAAAATCTATAGGTAATTACAAAAAATAATAGCTATGTATCCTACTGAAATTAAACTTTACCTTGTATGTGTATTTTACGCATATTTTTCCTCAGCATTTAAATTTGTGTTATTTCGACTGTAATTAAACGGTGTGTAATTTCATTTTCATGTATTAACAGTGTGGTCGATTCTTTTTACAAGTAATTTTTCCATTAAAAACACCAAAAGTAATATAATTTCAAACAGAGTATATGAAAATGCGCACGCGTTCAGCGCAAGTTACGATTGGTAGAAAGGTTGGAACACGCATTCAACGTAGATGCGATAGTTAAAAAAGGACGTCACGCTAAGGAGTGAGGGAAAGACAGGAACCACCATATTGCGCACGCGAAAGAGAGGGAGAAGGACAGAAACCACCGCCAATATGATTGCTCGTTCACTTGTTCTCAGTAGTAAAGCAAAGTTCGGTGCGGAGAGTGGTTTATCGTACATTTGGAGCGAAACACAAACTTAAGAAAGAAACTCTCGTTTGTCTCTACGTATAAAACAGTTGTGAATAAAATTTTGTGCCACCAAAGGATGGCAACTACCAAAGACAACAGCACCGACAGTGTGCAATTCTTTGAAGGTGTGGAGAAACTCCTTGAAATTTGGTTCACAAGCAACAGTAGCATAAACAGAAAGCAGGGCGATCTCAGGCAGATTCCTCAGTAAGTTGACGCATACTATCTTACTCTTCTACCGACTTGGAACACGTTTTTTTCTCAATATTTCTCAGAAAATACTCGCGCGTGATTTAGCCACGAGTCGTCATCTCCGCGGAACACCTAGCTCTACGTGAATTCAATAAAAATCTTAAGACTTCTAATTACATGTAACTGCAAGCACATTTGTATTAAAGGTTAGCGCGGTACGAAGTACCATAAATATTAAGAATTCGTCGATGACATACCGTTTAATCGAAATAAACGTTTGGATAAAATAAAACCGGCTTGGTAACCATGACTGTACCGCCGGCACCTCGCAATGTAATTGTTCTGATGGCAATCATTGGTACACTTAACCCAACACTCGCACGAGAATTACTGCTTCACGTGTGTCGACCTTTTTGGAAGATTAGCCGCATACATTCCTGATATTCGATGGGAACTGGCAATCGCTTTATTCCGTGTTCGTTAAACATAAACAAAAGCGTTGTTCCGTTCGGGGAAATTGTTGCTGCGACGTGATAACATTGGATAGATTGAATTGAACAGTAGCGTGTATATGTCATGTTTTTTGGCGAAGATCGATGCGCCCACCTTCTCGTTCCAGTAATACCGACCGCTCAAAGTGAGGCTACGTGACTCTGATATGTATATACATCGCTTTATCTCCTTATTTTAAATTGAATATAAATAGACATATGCATCGATGTAATCTTCCTTTTTCTAGGATTTTACTGCCATTTCGACGTAATTGTTGCCCGGTGTGTGCAGTTTGTTTGTAAATGTATCTCATAAAAAGTATAAACACATTTTTCACTCTTGTAAACGATGTAACACGAGCACATAGTTACGGTACAAGGGATACACATTTTCTTTCACTAAACCTCACTGCTAATGTTTCAATGTAAACAAATACTTATGAAACTTTAATGATCATGTGCTTGTAGACTACGCTCGAAATCCAATTATTGTTCGCATGTCGGAAGTCCTATTATGTTGGATATTATAACCAGCAAATGCACGCGCGTTTATTTATGATATTGTAACGCTTTTAAAATGAAAATTTAATTATTGCAAGCGCGCGATGGTTAAATATTAAATGGTACATGCCTTGAACACGGTACTTTCGAGAAACATTACCAGTTGCCGAAAATAGACTTATGTTATGGTACATTATAATAGACTTACGTTTTGATAATTTCTGATTGTTATTATTTTTGATAAATGTATCAGTATATTTTTACACGGGGTATGTGAAATATGGCGTGTAATAATTATAATTTTTATATAATATTAAATATGGATTTTAAATTGCACCAAATTATAAATTTTGTACATAGACATTTCGTTTGTAGTAAAATTATAATATTCTGTATTCATCTTTATGCAGATGGAATCAGGTGTACTCAAATCTATATTGCCAACTTAATGAAAGGTGGAAAACTTTAAGAATGTTTTTCTACGTAAAGAGGATGAAAATGAACATTAAAAATTTGAAAATTTTTTATTTATACAAATTCGTTAAAAGGCATTTATACGAAGATTTTTGTAAAATTTTAATGCTTAAATAAATGTTTTCTATTGTAAGCTTAAATTATTGAAATGAAGATCGAGGATAATTATTTATTAAGAATTACGTTCATTTTACTATGTTATTTTTGGTAGATAATGGTCATTTGAATTGTGCTATCTAGTTGTCGATGATTTCCGTGGTTTTCGCGTTTATAATCATATGATAAAAAAACTAAATTATAAATAATACCTTGTAGTTTTACAGGAATATTTTATTTATAAGGTGTCGTCCTTCACCTTACTTCATTTCTAACACTTCCTTTTATGTTTTCAAATGGAATATATTATTGTATTTATTGTGAAACATTATCTATTTAATAATCGTTGAACAATGCAAACCTAAGAAAAGCTGCCACGTCTCAGCACAGTGAACTTGTATAATTCAAATATTTACTTGAATTCTTTCTTGCAACTTCAATAATCAAGGTCATTTAACTTCGTAAATTATATTCTTGTGGTTTGATGAAGAAATCCACAAGTATGAAGTTAACTACATTACCGACATATGTTAATTTTTCGAAATGTAATTTTCTTTGAGTGTCAATCGTATAAATATATTAATTTAGAACGTTACAATTTAATCTAATAATTGAACTAAACACGTGTACATTAACTTCTTAAATATATATAATAGTTTATGTCGAAGTTTCGCGAAGACAGTGATTTTATCATCATTATCATCATTATCATTACCTTCATTATCATCATTATCAGCATCATCTACAATATACATAATATGTAATATACATTCCACCATCATCATTATTCTCATCATTATCATCATCATCATTATTTTCAATATCCTCACCATCCTCACCATCAGCACCATCAGCATTATCAGCACCGTAATCATCATCTTCATTTTCAACATCGTTACTATAATTGTCATACATATTAACATATTAAGAGTTTAATGACACGGTGTTATCGATTTCGTCACAGATTATGTAGTGCATGCTCCTAACTTACGATGTTTTTCAATATTGTACAAACGCCGTCTATCAGCACGATTGTAAATTTTTATAATTAGACGGACCAAGGTACGTTGGCAAGTTTGACAAATGGGAAAAGTGAAGCTGCGAATAATTTTACTTTGTTCTCTGAGCCGAGTCACGTTTTTGGCACAACTTCCCTCTTCACGCTTACTTCCGGCATTTTTCGCGACTGTGCGAACGATTTTACGAGGGACGTGTGTTCCCGCTTATACATTGCTTCATATTATGTAATTATCTTTATCGTATGTATAAACTTTTCAAATACTGCGAAGGGAATCGATTTAACCGGAAAGTGGATGTTTCTTTTTATTCTTCGTTACGTAGTTTGACCTAATTCGGCGCAGAAATTAATGTTCAATAGGTTAATTTCGTGTTGAATTTGACAATTTATTATTTTAATCAGTTAATAGTATTATTACAAATATATATTATATCAATAATATTATTAAAATTTATTCTTTGATGTGGTTATTTCATAAAAAGAAAGATTTTTTCACTTTGAAAGATGAGACGAAGAAACTTTGATTTTTAAAAATTTTACATCGTTAATGGTTACACAAATTTTACGAAGTAATAGTTACGAATTTGTATAATTTCAATCTTTCCTTAGATTTTTATTCTTGTTCCATGGAATCTTTTGAAATATTTCATGCCTATTCTTTTATTTATTAGAGCATAATTAATGTTTGGAACAGTATTATTATTAAAAAATACATTTTGAAACATTTTGTTTGTTAACTCAGGTAAAATGAACTTTAATTTATGTAATTCTTAAAATTATATAACAGTTATTTTATAAAGCACTCGATTATTATTATTACTATTATTAGAATTGAAAAATTTCTAGTTATTGTGATTCTGAGTCATTATATTATTATTTAATATTATCTAAAATTATTAGCAACTTCCAGATATTAAATTTACATTTGCAGGAATTGAAAGTGGCTAGCTTAGGAAATGAAAATATTTCCAATTGCTAATTTAACGTTTGCTTGATTACAAATTGAGTTACTTATTTTTATAATTATTACATGACAACTTTGAAAAGTTACAAGAGTATAAACCTCTTTTCAAAATAAACCAAGTAAAATTGAAGTATCGAGAAAACTATTTTATCATCAAACACGTGTGGATCACGTGTTTCGATTACATACGTGTTCGTAGCAAACATATTTTCAGAACAGTTGTATTCATCCACATTTATGAATGAAATAGCATTGACAAGACAGAATTAAATTATTTAGCTAATTATTCATTTGAGTTCCTACTGAAAAATTATAATTATAATCAATATTTTTACACTTTGAACAGTGAAACGTGAAAACATACCTATCACAAAAGCAAAGAATATTTAATGATTAGATCACATTATGATTGTGCAGTGATTATTATTTATTTATATATTTTAGGCAATTTGTTCTTCATGTCCAAATTTTCAGGCTATTTAATAAAATAATATTTTGTATATTGACTCATACTAAAATTTACAGGGGGATTGAAAATGTTCTATTTGCTATTTATTATTTCAAAGTAAGCATTGAAGTTTATTCGAAGTCAATAATTATGTATATTACCTTTTAGATATAATTAAAATAAATAAAAATTAAAAACGAGTTAAATTTTTGTAGATAATATATGGTAACACGACAGAAATTTTGAATAAATTTTTATTGTTGTTTATCATTGTTTATTCCAGTAAAGTCTTACTCATCTCTGATAAAAGTATATACATTTGTGATCTAATTATTAGTCATTGGAAATGTAAAATATATTCGCAACGAATAAAAAAGTTTTTTTTGATTTCAATTTCCGAGTTCGCTAACGCCGTTTCTTCCTGGTTCTTACGACAAAACTGTTTTTTGTTACTGACAAAACCTTCCTTGCCTATTATTTACACAATTAATATCATTTGTCAATAATTATATTATTTACTATATTATAATTCATATTTATTATAGTTATTTATTATATTATAATTCATATTTATTATAGTTATTTATTATTAATAATTATATTACTTATACAATTAATACATTCTGTAGCAATTTCGTGATTTTCGATGGCGCAGTTTTATTTGTAAAATATAGAAATTTTCGCATGAATCATGTGACACAACAATTGAATAAAATTTTATTTGCAATTTAGTGATAAAATTAGCAAAGGAAATCAAGTTTTAAATAACTTCAATATCTTCAAATGTGTCTACGCGGATACAAATCTATATAAAACTGTGCAATCTATGTATTATTGACTGCAGGAACTCGTTATCGAAATTGATATATCGATTCGATCGCAATTATCTGTATAAATTGCAACGAGTACAATTTGTTTTAATCGTCAGATTAAAATGTGTTACCCTTTATTCTATTCGAATATGAAATTGCTATTGTTAGCATAGATTTATATTTATTAGCAATAATTAAAGATCTTCGTGATCTGTGTGAATACAATAAAATAAGACATTAAGCTTATAAATAATGGACTTATAAATTTACAAAAATATTTTTTTTTAAATTGACAGAAACCTCTTATAAAATATTTTATATAAATCATTATCTGTTATGAAGTATTATTGAAACAATGTTTTAATCATTAACCATTTAACCATTATGACTCATATTATTAGGTCACTAAAAAAATGAAAATTAAAATTGTTTGGATTGTTTTAATGCACATCTGTAATTGCATTACTGAAACCAATAACAGAGGAATAAATAATAAATACTGTAGTCGTATTCGTAATGTGTTTCTTTTATGCGAAAAGAAATTTTTTAGATATTAAACATTATTTTATCTATAGTTTAGAAAGAGCAACTTATTAAAACACAAAATGAAATAGTAGTACAGAAACTAATGAATTCTACTGTTGGATTTAAAACGAGAGTTTTTTCATTATTTCTCATTATCCTCTGGTAAGTAAATATCCAAGTGCCGACTCCTTGTGGGTTGGCTACAATAATGAAACAATTGCAATCATAACGAAATATTGATTTACAAAAGTAAACGATAATAATAAACAAAGAATTTGCAGATAGAATAGTTAGAAAATCCAAACAGAAATCATATGTTGAAACGTAAAAACAAGAAAATTAGGTTGTTGCACGAGTATAAAAAATCGTTAAGAGGAAAATCTCATTTCCTTCGCTGAAAAATATGGATTCTTTAGTATTTTTGTATTGAAAGAGTATGAACGTGTTTTAGTTGAAACTTTGCATATGTTTTCAATATATTTTCATTAAGTTTTATGAATTGTTCCAGTTGAATTTCTCCAGAAATACAATTTGCACAGCATTCAACGTGTTAATCATTTTTCAAGGAAGAAATTACGAATGGGTTATTTTGACCCATGCAGTAGTTCTAGTGTTAAAAAAGAGTTCTTTCATTATTTGATTTATAGATAAAATAATAGCATGGAAATCATATTTTTCATCGAAAAAAATGGGATTCCTCCTTAAAAGAAGAATTAATAAGTGTTATATATATAGGCCCCTGTGATTTCGACATCAAGCCTTAATATATTGGCATCTGGTTGATTTAATTAATTTTGTACCGCAAAATATATTGAATAATTAATTACTTTAAACTTTTATACACACAGGCGTAAACTTTCGACGTCGTTGTTACTTCAAAATCAAGAAATTTATTTGTTCCAATAGAATTATAAAAGTTATTGAATACATTGTTAATTTCTATTTACAGGTTGATATTTATTAATTTTGCATTACATAAATGTTCTAAAGTCACAACAAAAATTCGGTCAATAGAGGTTTAAAGCAAAGAATGTAAGTATATTATTATAACTATATGTATATAATAATATAATAATAATATAATAATAGTATATTATAACAAATAATAAGTTTATTATATACTTAGTTATTATAATATGTTTACATTCTTTTATTTAATCCGAAAGATTGACTGAAATTTTGTTGTGAATAATAATAAAATAATAATAATAATATATTATATTTAATTACAATAAAAAATATAATAACCATACCTTTTTCGCTTTGTTTTAGGCGAAAATGGCAGTCCTTGCTGAAGATCGTTCGTTGCGAGATCATCAGCATTTGCCGTACCGAACACGTGGATGCTTATGTTCTCAGGTAATACCGCCTTACATTAAACACTTCTAAATCTGTGTGTACCTCTAGTTTATGAATTGTATGCGAGCGTCGAACGAATGAATTAATTTCAGTTGCACGTAACACGTAATACTTATACAATTATATATGATACTTGCGTTTAGGAGATTGCTGTTACTTGTCAGTCCTATGCAAAAAATATTATTCAGTCTATAAATTAGAAACTATAAATTGTAAAAATCAACTATAAATTCTGATATGACTAATTATTTTCCATTTCATTTTGTTATTTGAAAGTAGACTGTGGGTTAATGAAAAGGACTATGATGCAATTTATAAATATTTCCTTTATAAGATAAAAATAATAATTATTATTATAGTTATAATAATAGTTTATTTAAAAAGTAAAAATTGTTATTCAGTTTTTATATAATGCAACCGTAAGTTCATTTGCATTTTATTAGCAAATATAAATTCGCAAAGCTTAGATTGCACTGTGTGCATGGAAGTAACCTAGGATACTTTCCTGTTTCTGATAATGTTTATAGTTTGTTCCAATTGCGTGATACACTATGCACAATCAAACATTAGCGAGAATAAACAAGTAAATTAACATAATATTAGATTATGCAAAATCTGATTCAATTATGTCTTTAAGAAAACGCTTAATTTCTTGTATTTCAAAGTTCGCTGTACTTTAAAAGAAGTAGCATTGAAATTTTCCGATTCTCGATACTCCGTTATCTTCTCAAATTGCATGGAATCGCGTTTGTTCAATTGCTCGAATTGAAACCAGCGCATTGGTCCGAAGATCGTCGAAACTAAAATAATCTTTAATTGGCAATGAGATTAGAAAGCTATTTTTCCGCGCCGTGTTTAACTATGCTGTATTATCTAAAATTTTATCTGCGTAACAAAATATTTAGCAACAGATAAGTTAAAAATGTTTGTGTTAGCCTTTAATTACGCATTCAATTTGCTAAACGTTAGGGAAATTCAAGTCACGTTATCCGCGCGTGACGTCACGGACCGATGTACTATTTCATGCGAAGGTACGAGTTACAAGCATCAACTTTCATTCGCAAATAAAACTATCATTTTACAAGTAGATGTTATTTATTCAAGATTTCCTTGTTCATTTCATAAGAAGTATTTGAATATCAATGAAACGGAACACGTATTCCATTAGTATTCGACCACTTACAAAGTAAAATCGAATAAAACATTTTACATCCTCGTTGTAAAATAAATATGCATGAATAGAATGAACCTTAACCCTTTGCCCTATGATTTGGGGCCAATTTTTTTGTTGGTAATTTACTAGAAATAAAAGAGAATTCCCTCTTGTTTCTGTGTTTACATTTGTTTCCAAGATCAATGATTAACCTGTTAACTGTAGAATTTAATTTGATTAAAATCTTATTTATAGTAATCGATCTTAAATATTGCATACAGGGTAACTTTAATCAGAAAAGTTACATTGGCAATTTTGCATTAACCGAGGACTTGGAATAAAAGCTATTTAAAATTTGTCGTGAAATATATTATAACATTTTTATCTGTGATTGATAAAAAACAGTAAAATACATCTATAACTTTTTTTCATGCGCGTATACGAGTTGCTGGTAATGTCAGTGAGAAAGAACTTCGAGCACAAAGGGTCAAATATATTTCCCGTATTTCCGATAAAGCGGAGGTGATCAAGTATTCATGGATCGAAATAATGATGCATGTACCGAAATTTATAAGATCTCACACGCTATTCGTTCGATTTACATGTAATATTCAGTACTTCGATGCTATTCCGTAGTTTACGTTTCATATTTCATATTTTTATTGATACATCAGATTGCAATGCGGCACGGATTAGTGCGAAATGATCATGACTTATGCCTTGTAATCGGCGGGGATAAATTTAGTTGCTCAAAGAAGCGCGCAAGTCAATTTTATGAAGCATAGATAGTTATCGCGCTTTTGTTTTAATCATTTCTTCCTGTTATCTGCTACGGTTTTCATACGTTAATCTTCACGAAGAATTTTTATCTCGACGAATAAACTAACAAAAATATTACATTTAAATCCCTTCTGTCGTAATTCTCAATGAGCTAGCAAAGTTTAACCCTTTGCATTCGAAAGCTTTTCGCTAGAAATATTCAACATCTTTTTATGAGACAGACGACATTTATTAAAAGCAACTTCTACGAGAGATTGCCGTAATTTAAGGAACAAAGTCATTTCATTTCAATATTTCACGTATTGCACAAAGTTTAATATTAAATATGAAACATAAGTTTATTGCCTCAAATCAAGTGGTGACTGAGAGTCGCCTCTCGAGTGTAAAGGGTGAACTCGAAAATGTTTAGCTAGGAAGCGAATGACAGTAAACTCGTTGACTGCCACGCGAATTAATTGCGATGACAAGTATTACCAGTAAAGGAGAAGAGAGAGAAGAAAGAAACCAAGGGTTGAATACAGTTATGATATTGGTTTCAATTGAAACAATTATGGAGAATCATATTCTTCAGAACTGATACAATATCGAATCAAACATAATAAACATAATAAACCATAATATAACTAAAACCGGTATAGAGTAATCCTGGGTGAGATGGCCCGATCTCATTTAGATTGGTAAACATCTATATTTCCAAATGTTTTTAGTGGTATACGGAACCTTATACAAAAGCATATTCAACTATTCTTTTTATATGTATTTACTTTCTTAAATATATCTTTTTTTTATTAGGTATTAATGATATTCATGATATGATAGTCCTTTAAAAAATCACCATGATTCCTAATGGACAATCTCTCCTCAATTTGGTCTGTCTAATAACAATTATTACCTTATTTCGGTTTTCCATAATTGTTTCAGTTGGAACCAATATATAACAGTTTGCGACAGTTATTTTCGGGACCTTTTTAATCCCTGATAACAAACTAATCAATTTTGTTCGATATCGTATTTTTGCACATTTCACTTAACGCTCATCGCCTAGTCGAGTCACGTTACTAGAAAATGTTCATTCGACGGCATTCATCTCGTTGCAATCATTTATGAACAATTTGGTAGCGCCGGTCATCGGTGACCACCGTGGCATTCAACGTGTTAACTGTCTTTTATTAGATGAGCAAAATCGAGCCTACAGCCGCTCATTGGAGCACGTCGAGGCTTTCGTCTGTTCTATAATTCCAGATGTTAGGGTGCGATTCCACTCACCACTAAGATTGGGTTAGTGTTGTAAAACGGTTGAGTCTTCGAAGTTTCAAGGTTTAAATTTAAAGGCTGAGTCTTGAAAACTTGGAGTTCAATAAAGCTCGAGTCTTCGAAGCTTCAAGACTCAAACTGAAAGGGTGAGTCTTGAAGCTTTGAAGGTTCGAATTGAGCCTTGAGGTTTCTTCAATTTAAAGAATCTTCAATGCTTGAGTCTTTATCCTTAAAAACAGTTAAAGACTCGGCCAGTTTGTTGCTATACTAACATGGCAATAAGGATTTTAAACTTACAGTTCAATCTTCAAGACATTTGAAATTCCCTCGGCTTCAGCTTCTCGGTGTTAATATAGTAACAGATAGCTCGCGTCTTCGGGTTTAAAGAGTCTTTACGTTGAAGACTTTAGCATTTAGAGCTCAAGGCTCGAGCATTGAGCGCTCAAGCTTATAGTGGTGGGGCTTTTAACCCCTTGTGTACAATGACGAGTGAGACTCGTGATGAAGATTTCTAAATTAACACTAGAACTACTTATTGAGCCTAGAACTACTTATTAACCGACTTCTTAAATCTTTTTTATGAAAATTATAATAGTGCTTCTATTTAGATTTCGATTCGTGCAGAGGGTTAACATCTTGTCCTATGATTTGTTTCGTAACAATGCTTGATACTACTATTTTATTGTTAAAATTATTACAATTATTAGGAATGATCAGAAAAAGAAAAGAATTTGATGGTTATTCTGTGTCTACGTTTACTGTAAAGGTTAAAGACTGATAATAGAAAAGTAATATTTCATTTATATGAAAAAGAAGTGAATAACATGTAGATTTCTCGAATTCGGTTGAACATTCTCAACGCGAGTTTGAATATTTCATTCGATATTATAGGAGAAGGGGTTAACGTTCCGGAAAATTTGGCTTCACGCCATTCAAACCAGTTGTCAAAGCCAACTGGACAAAAATGATACCGCGGGTTATTATCGTTCAAACTTGTATAATAATACGCACTTAATTTTGCTTTTCATTCGTTCGATAGAATTGAGATTCTATTTACTGTTAACTCTTAATAAATCTCAAATAAATAAAAATAATAAATATATAAATAAATATGAATATATAAATAAATTTATATTTATTTATATTTATTCTGTTATAAATTTTATATATATGAAATTTATAATAGAAATTGATAAAATATATAAAATAAGTTTGAAATGAGTCTGAAATAAATCAATCGATATTCACTCGAGTCAGAAATAATGACGCAAGAATATTAATCATTGGCTGCCGACGTGACAAAAAACCTACCTTAAAATTTATAATTTTACGTCTACTATCATACTCTGCTTTGGTAATAGTTCTCAAAGTAACAATATTTTATTTCATTTAACATATGATGTAATTATTAAATATTTCAAGAATATAACTCAGAAGAATTTTCAATGCTCTGGGAGAGTTACTCCATGCGTCACAATTTAAATCAATATCACATTTTTATTGGAAGTTTTCCTTCGCGTGAAACACCAGATCAGAATCGTTACAAATACGTGACGCTAGTAGCGTCAATCGGCTAGAAAAATGCTCCTACTGAAAACGAGTCTAACAGATACCCAAGATCATTTTTAATCGAATTAAATTGTAAAGAGTTAACTCTTCGCGGGCCTGCGTCGAGGCAGACGCGTCATTCAGTTCTATCAATTTTATCATTTGTTTTATCAACTTTCGCTATAGTTACTTCTAATATCATAACCATAAAATATTAAAGTGTAATTGTAGTATTTCCCAAGTTAAATAAATCAAATAAATTAAA